ATGACTGAGAGTAAGTAAAAAAAAAAAAAGAAGGAAAGGGAGAGTAGTTTTGTCTTAAAATTAAAATGTCTGGTTGTGCCAGAATGTGGAAAAATAGAGAAAAAGCTAAAATTGAGGATATGTAGTAAGTTGTAGAAGGTTTGAGGGGAAGTGAATTCTATTTGCCTTGGTTTATAAAACCTGCAAATAATGGGTTTGAAGAGAAACAATGATATGTGTTGGAAATTTAACTGTATTGCATTATTTGATCAATTTATTCATTGGATGGAAAAAATACTAATTAATACTGAAGCCTGCTTTCATGTGGCCACACAGGCCATTTCAGTAAAAATTGCCCTCAGAAATCAGGAATTTCTTCAAGAGAAACTAATTCTCCTAATGCTGCAGCTCCTCCTAAAAACTTATGTTTCCAGTTTTAAAAAATTAAGTCATGTACATGACTTAAAGTGTAGACACTTTTCTCATTTAATTATGGCTACAGCTCGGATAGAAGAAGCCTTTAAAGATGTGTCTCAACATTTAATGTTTTGCTTTGCTTGTGCAGAAAAGTCTAAGACTATTAAGACAGATAATGCACCTGTTTACACCTCCTTTGCCTTCAAATTTTTTTTTTTAGTTCATTTAACTTGTGGGAGAGGCTATGCTTGTATTTTTCTACAGGACGCTGATTCACTCATCTGAATCCCTGATAGACTAATCCAACGCCTTGGTTTCTCCTCTTCGCCGATTGCGACTTGAGTCACAGACCAGTCCTACTTCGTCACCAACTTCTGCCACACTGTGCAGCAACCCGCCTCCCTCTGTTCCCTTGTGTGCTGTTTGTGATTATGTTACAAATGCAGTTTGGAATGTGTCAAAAAATGGGACTGTGAAAGATAGGAAGCAATATGGACTCATGGCTTGGCATGATGGAGGCATGGCACCCCCGAGACCTCATTTGTCACTTGCTTCTGGATGGTGGGGACCTGAACAATAGGACTTTTGGAAGCTAGTAGTTGCCACCACCCCTATGCAATTTTGGAAAGGCAACTTCTAGGGAACATCACGTTCTATGTCTCGTTATCACTTTGTACATAATACCAGTTTCTATATACAAGCTTGAGTTCGATTCCCTTTTGTGATTGCTATTGGCACTGTTTCTTTTGATGCAAAAGTTAAAACTGTAATATGTAATGATTGTTCTTTATATTCTTGTGTTAACTCAACTGCTAAGTTTAATATCAGCTGACACTCTCTCATTGTGTTAAAAGCTAGAACATATCTGTGGCTACTTGTAAACCTGACCCCACCCTGGGAGGAGTTTCTAGTGACTGGGACTTTACTTAAGGTGATTGGAAAACTCTGCCACACTCGAAGTTTTGTGGGATGGCTCGTACTTGCCATACTTGACTGATTGCAACTACGGCAGCGGTTGCAGGAGAGGCACTTCATACAGCAGTGCAAACCCATGACTTTGTTGCTAACTGGTCTCATGAATCTCGACTCCTCTGGCAACAACAAGTCCGCATTGATGAAGATTTACAAGAGCGGGTGGGGGAGTTACAACAGACTGTTCAATGGTTGGGTGATCAATTTGTAGCTGTGCAACAACAAATTATGTTACATTGTGATTGGAATGTTAGTACTATTGTGTAACTCCTGTACAGTTTAATAATGTTTCTATTTCTTGGTCTCAGATTCAACATCATCTTAACTGTGTTCATGGTAATTTGTCTTTGGATGTAAAGTCTTTACAAAATCAAGTACTTCAATACTTTTCTAAAGAACTGCCTACAAATTCTATTGATGGATTAGCTGAGGGTATTGCCAATGCTCTACAGGGCATGGACCCCTGTTCATTTGTTCAAAGTCTGACTCATAGTATTGGTAGTGAAATTATAGCTATACTAATATGTGCTTTGTTGTTTGGAATAGGGTACTACTGCCTCCAATGACGGACAAGCCTCCGGTTCGACTCCGGTAGATTGATGCTTGAATTATTAAAGACAAAAGGGGGAGAGACCCCATGCAGTGAGCAGAAGGGCATTGACCTGAGTACCTAAGGCATGTGAAAACACATGCGTCTCAGAGGAAAACCTCTGGGTGACAGGACTTGGTGTTGAGTGCCCAGAAAGTGACCTGCAGGCAGTCAGGCCTCTACATCTCCACAGTCTAAGAATAACAAAAATAATGAGCGGACTTCCCAAGCTCTAGCTAGGGGGAGATAAGATTATGTGCGTGAGAACTAACCACCTGGTACCCTATTGTCTGAAGTAAATAGAAAATAGTAAGAAAGTAGACTAATCATTCATACGTGTTATCATTATATGGTATGCTTTGATGTTACACCTGCTGCAATTAAAATAGTATATAATGAGCACTAGACAAAAAAGATTTACTGCATGCTGGACATGGCAGTCCCCCATGTCTGATTTCCCTCACTGTCGCGTCCCAGGTCCAGGACTCACTAGAAGTCCACAATGAGGCAACTCCAATGACGTAATTCTAGAATACAATCTATATTTGAATATGTTTTTATCTAGATATCTCTAGACCAAATACTGTTTCTGCTGTTAACAGGAAAACAGATGTCCCTTTTATTCCAGAAAGATAGTATTATAGAGAGAAGGCATCAGATGATTAAATACTTATTTTATAATATACCACTAAAATAAGGAAATTCATGTAATCAATCAGTGAAATAAACTGGGAACTCTTACATCTATTAAAGAACAGGGGAGCAGCTGCATATTCTCCCAAATTACTACATAAATACTTAATAACACATTATATCATCTGGCTATTTAGTTTACAACTGTTTGGTCTGAATCTTATTTGCAATTGTGCCACAATGTTTAAATCACATCTTCAGAACAAAGTGCCTTTGTCTTGTAAAATATTAAAGAAAGCATAGAGTTCACCAGAAATTGGTGTTTTGTTATTTTATAATTTTAGAAGGTAGAATAGTAGGGAAATTTCTCTGTGGAATTTGTTTAGAAGAAATTAAAATAATATGTGTAGAGTAATTTGCTTATCAAGATATTATTCCACATGCTTACAGGAGACTCCTACATGGAAAAATGAGAAAGTAAATGAAAACTATTTTTTCCTCATTTTATCAGTGTAGCTGTTCTGGCAAGATTGCCCTCTAACCGTCAACTTGTCAGAAAAAAATAGAAATGGAGCAGAGATGGAAAAATTTATAGATACCTATTCACTCCTATAACAGAGGGATATGGGCTTTCATGTTATTATTAATATTTGATTGCAGCAAAATGTGGAAATACCTGGTCTCTTCATACCTTGTTGAAGAGCCAGAGAAACTCACAAAAGCCTTATCATTTGTTTCACAAGACTCTCATTTGATTCTTTGGGTTAAAAAGTCCAGTGAATTATAACATTTCAGTACCTTCTACATGTACTATGATTTAAATCATTTAACAACCTACAAAATGAAATGATTAAACAGTAATATATGCAGGTTTCCCAAAGTAAATTGTACATCTTCATCACTCATTTAATTTGTTCCACCTAAAATATAACCAGAAAACCCCAGAGTCAAATAATAGTGGGATATTACTGCAAACCAGCAGCTGGACTTGAGAGGTACATTATAAAAATGTCTTCTAGAAAGAATTCATATAACTCAACAAGAAGAAAACTAGTAACTCAATGGGAAAAATGGGCAGAATTTCTAAATGCACTGCTTTCTAAAGAAGACATACAGATGGCTAAAAAGCACATGAAAAATGTTCATTATCACTAATCATTGAGGAAATGTAAATCAAAACCCCAGTGAGATATCACCTCATGCTGGAGCAAATGACCAATTTTTAAAAGACTAGAATCAATAAGTGCTGAAACCCTTGTTCACTTTTGATGAGAATGAAGACTGGTTTAGTCCTTGTGGAAAACAGGATGGAAATTTCTCAAAATATTAAAAAGAGTCTACCATGTGATTGCGGAACCCCACTCTTAGGTATTTATGCAAAGAATACAAAAATACTAATTCAAAGGAAAATATATATTTCTATGCTCATTGAAGCACTATTTATATTAGTCAAGTTATAAACCAACCTAAGTGCCCAATCACAGAGGAGTGGACTAGGAAGATGTGGCATATATACACAAAGGAATACTACACAGCTATAAAAATGGTGAAATACTGCCATTTGTAATATGGATAGAATTGGAGTGGATTATGCTAAGCAAAAATAAGTCAGAAAGAGAAAGACAAATACCAGATGATTTCACTCATATGTGAAGTATAAAGGAACACAGAGCTAAATAAACATAAACCCTAGAAATCTGACTGCAGACTGAAGCTACACTCACTGGAGGTATATGATAAGATAAGTTTGAAAGGCTGTGAACCTATAGCTCTAAACCAAATACAGTGTTATAGCCAACATTATCTCAATAAAATAAATAAAATTTAAAACCAAAGATATTTGTTTCATTTATTTTCCTCTGAGGGTCTAAAATGCTTTTCTAACTACTTGGTGATCCTGGGACAGACTGTCCAGTATCTAATAGTTTCTTCATGCTACTTTTAAAGTTTACTGGATGTCTATTCACTGAAGTACCTAAAGATACATTTTGCCAAGAGCAGAAAATTTCTCCTGGCTCTTTTTTTTTTTTTTTTAAGGCCAGAAAAATGTTTAATGTTTGAAACATAAACAAATATAGACTTATTTTATTCTACGATAAGTGCTATTTTCAGAAAAAACAATGAAAGAATAAAGAATAAAAAGAATAAAGAATAAAATAAAAAATTATCAATCTAAAGTCATGTTAGGTACAGAATGTATAGCATTCTATTGTTAGTGTTTTAAATCTGCATGAACAAGTTCAAATACTTGAGCAGCTAGATGCTTAAACGTTTTAGAAAATGCACTACATAGTAATTACACCAGAAAGTTGTCCCAATATTAACAAGGTGCTATGGTTCTAAAATAGGCTTCCAAAAAGTCTAATAATTAAGATCATCACAGAACTATATAAATGTGTGATGGTCAACAGAACAGTTCTCTAAACTAGCCAGACTTGAAGTGGAGGTCTGTGACCCGAGGGAATTACGGGCTGTCCATCTCCAAAGCTTCAACAATGTGTGCGGCTGATGGACGGTCTTTAGGGTCTTCATTTGTGCACACGGAGAACAGTTCAATTACCTTCTGGTACGATTCATCCAGTTCTTCCATGTTAATAGGGGGCTGAGTTCCCAAAGCTGCGTAGTATGCTTCATCATCAAAGTCACTCTCATCAAAAGTTTTATCTTCATCGTCATCTTCATCTGGAAGATTAATGTGTGGAATTGGCAAAGTCAGCATTTCCCACAGAGTGAGGCCAAAAGCAAATATGTCTGCCTTATTGGTGATAACACCATTCTCCTCCAACGCTTCCTTGGGTTTCCAAGGCTCAGTGTCAATATAACAGGCCTCAGGGTCAGTCACAGTCATATTTTCATGTAATGGTAGTGAGTCTCCTACATCACAGATTTTAATTGTTTCAAAATCACCTTTAATTACAACATTTGAAGACTTTATGTCTCCATGAGGCAGTTTCTTTTCTTGCTGTAGATACTGTAACCCTCTTTCCATGTTCAAAGCAACTTTTAAAATCACAGCTGCTGGAAAAGGACCTTGGCCATCTTTATTTCGTTCTTCTATTAAGTCATTCAGAGACTTTCCCCTCCATAAATCATAGGGAGACACAGGCTTCCATCACTGGCTTCAGTGAAAGCATGATAACCTACTATGTTTGGGTGATGAAGGCTCTTCAAAATCTTTGCTTCATCAGTTAGTCTTTTTTGATACACACTCTGATGATGATCAGCACACCTAGGATTAATCTTTTTCACAGCCCAAGGAGAATGAGACAAACCTCTTGGAGATTTTTTCATAAGGTAGACATTTACGCCAATACCAAAGCCAAGCTTCTGCATAAATGGAGAGGCAGGAATATTTATACATGGAGTTGAACATAACGCAGATTTCTTTCTTTCAGATAATTTGCTTGGCGTCTTGAAATTACTGATTTCTTCCATTGTAGTATTACTCTAGATCTCTGGTCGTGCGGAGGAGACCCGCCCCGGTAACGAGAGGTCGGACCAAGGCCGCCTAGAAAACCTGAGCTCCCGCCGCCCCGCGCAGCGGCCCGCCCAGCGCCCCTCGCCAACAGTCGCGGCCGCGGGCACCCGTCCTCTTTCTCTCCTGGCTCTTGGGCCATGTCTGAGGAACAGCTAGGCAGCGGGCTGCCAAGTGGAATGAAGATGTCTATGTTTTTATGCAATAAATGGTCACATGCTAGGAGGAAAACATGTGAGGGCACTTGGTACATACATATGGCAAAAGCACAGTAAACAGGGAATGTTATATCTAGCATTTGGTATATATATTCACTTATACAAGGGTTTTCCTTTTTTTCCTCCCCAGTGGCTCTATTTGGAAAGTAAATTCAACTCTAAAACATGCACTGAGTTCCTACTTGCCAAGTGCATCTCGGAGGATACCTAGTAGAAGACTGATTTTAAGGAGCATGAAATAAGAAAGAGGAACAAGTACTTGGATGAATAAACCCGACAGTGATTAGCCATTTCTTTGCAGGATAGAATTAAAATTTCTTCAAAATTTTCCCATTTTTTCTGTACTTCTTCCACAGTACTTGTTACACTCATCCACTTCTATATTACTTATCACATTCACATACATATTTCATTCCACACCCTTCTTCTCTGGGGAAAAGACTTAACCTTCTTGATCTCCATTTTATCTCCAGGACTTAGCATAGACAGACATACCAAGCACACAATAAATATTTGATAAGTCTTCTGTAAGCCATACAGATTTGATATTTTAGTAATAACTGCAGTTTATTTTGCTCCTATTGAGAAAAATCATCAGATTAGATTGGAAAAACTTCAGTTATCTTCCTTTGGCTACTGAGGTATTTCTAGATAAAATGGAAGTCTGTTCTGCAGTAGAAAAATCTATTTTTGCCTTTACTGCATCTGTTCACCTTCCTAATAACATACTTTGATTTTTCCTCAGTTTGTAAAAACACTTCTTTATTGTGTCGAGTCTTATGGCCTATCAATCAAGGTGACTTCTCTCAGACTGCTAAATAGTCATGTGACTGTTAAGATCAGCTGATTAGAAATCTTTGTTCCACTTGCAACCTTAATTCCTCTTTGCCACAAAATGTCACATATTTACAGGTCCCAGGGAATAGAACTCAGGAATCTTTGAGAGGGGCACTATTCTGCCTGCCACACCCATCCTGTTGCCTGAGGAATCAGTCACTAGCATTTACTTCCCAGATCTCAGGCTGCCTTAGCTCTTGTCCCGTCTGAGGACTGGTGTTTAGAACCCATTTTTGATTCTATAAACTATTCTTATCCTTGAAATAATTTAATTATTGCCTAATTTTATAAAAATTCACTTCTTATACTTTTTAAAATATAAACATATTTTTTATTATTTTTTGTGTGGAAGAACTGTGTTCTAGGCCAGAGGTGCGGGGATGAGAGGATTCACCAGAGACGGAGTGGAGAACAAAACAGGTGAATTTACTCAAATATACTGCTAAGGGGAGCAGCAGGCAAAACAGGAGAAATCTGCTGTGCCATATGTGGCTGGGATGTGCCATATGTAGCTCCATGGCTGGGATCGAACCCTGGCTGTAGGGGTGATAGCCCTGAGAGTTAACCTGTAGACCACCATGGAGGCTGAACTTCCTAAACTTTTTTTTTCCCCCTAAAGATTTATTTATTCATTTTTTTATACAAGAGCTGGGGTACAGGCCAGATGCGTGGGAGGGTGAGAGGATTCACCAGAGACAGAGCGGGGAGCCAAACAGGCAGACTGACAGAAACGCACTGCTGAGGGGAGCAGCGGGCACGACAGGAGAGGTCTGCCGTGCCATGTGGGAATCTCCCTGGCCGGCCGGGAATTGAACCTGTGCTGCAGAGGATGAGGCCAGCTTTACAGAGCCGTGCTCAATCCGCTGTGCCTCTGGGGAGGCCCAACTTCCTAAACTTTTTAACAATGAATTCAAGTTGATACAAATGTTTGCTAGATCCTAGTTGATAAATAATTAACAGTGAACAAAAGAACTGATTTCAGTCTTTTCCCCTAGTCCTGCTTCCTTTCCAGTATTCTAATTTCAATAGAAGGTGTCAGTAAGACAAGACAGAAGAGACTTGTGGCCTTGGAGTTTTCATTCCTTTGGAAAACAGTCATGATTCAGAGTTGAAACTTTCCACATTAAGGTGATTTAAAAAAGGCTACACTCACCTCAGATCTTATATGTAACAGTGAACAGGACTTGATAGTATTTGTTCATGCAGAAAAGTTATAGGCTGATTGAGGCAGTATTTAAAGCCAAGAGTAAACAAACAAGGAATGTTTCTGACCTGTATATCTAATGTATATTAAAGGAGATATGAGCCATCAAAATTGATTTGTGCAAATATGTAGAGTCTTGTATCTTCTCTGTTCTTATATTTTCACTTATTTACTTATCTGTGGTAATAGTATAATCTCTCAATTGTATTTTTATTAATGTTGGCATGTAGTTTTACATCCTTTTAATTTATCCTATTTATATTTATATACTTAAAGGTGATTTTGATAAGCAGAATGTCATTGGGTTTTGCTTTTTTATCTAATCTGACAATTTTTCCTTTTTAATTGGGGTGGACAAGTCATTTATATGTAATGTTATTATGTCAGGCTTAAGTTTAACTTGCTATTTTTTATTTGTCTCACCTTTTTTCATGTTCTCCTTTTCCTCTTTTTCTGCCTTTTTGGGATTTGTTGATTACTTTTTATGACTTGCTAGTTTTTCCTCCTTTACAAATTTATCAGCTATAACTCTTTATAATCATATTTCCTTATTTTAGTGGTTGCTTTAGGGTTTATAGTACCTTCAAGTGATACTGTGCCACTTCACATAGAGTATGAACTTTATCTTACTATATTCCCATTTCTCATTTCCCAGGTTTTATGATATTGTTGTCATACATTTTACCTCCATATATGTCATAAACCACATCTCTATTGTTATTACTTTCAAAAAATATTTAAATTATAATAAAACATATTTGCCCAAATAGTTAATATTTTCAGTGTCTTTGAACTTGCAACCCCAATCCCCCAGTGCCCCCGCAATGTCAGATCATGCCCTGCTAACTCAGGACCATGGAATTCTCTGCTCAAATGACTTTGAGATTGCTTCTAGGACCTGTGTGGGCTTTGTAATGCCTCTGATCTCCCAAGGTCAGACCATAACTCTAGTGTATACACCCTAGGCTTGAGGGACGGCAAGGACCTTGGCCAGAGCTTATCTTGAGAACTAGCATGTGCATGATAAGGACAGGCTCATAATGCTGGGTGAAAGCATGTGAGCCTCTGCTCTTCCCATACCACCATGTTTTACCATGGGAGTCTTACAATTATAAAATTAAGCCCTGCCTGCCATGCAGTTTTAAAAGTATGTTTTCAAAGTAAGATGATGGAAGCCATTAAATTTTTTGTTACAATTATAACTCCATTAGATATGACCCTGCTTAAACAAAAAAAAATTTTCCATACCTCTCCATCAGTAAAGAACTTCAGGAAGGAAGCAAGCTGGGCTCCCCAAAGATCTTTTGATTCTAGCCATTAATGAGGGGTGCACATGAGTGACTCATAATCCTGAATATAGTCAAGTTTAGTGAGTGGATCTCTTTTCCTTAGTATAAAGCTTTTTTCCTGAGATTTTAATATTCTTTAAAAAATGGTCTGATAAGTAGGGAAGAAGAGGTCTAGAGTGAAATGTGCTACAACTGATGCAAAATACTATTGGTCATTTCAGGGGATTCAATGTGACTTTTAATATCTTTTGATCATTTTTCAAAAGATAGTACTTTTACTTTTGCAACACAACTATGCTAGTTTTTAGTTTTTTCACTGAAATAAAGTAGCTTAAAAATTCAGAATTCTCAATAATCCAATGCAAGAAATGATCTGATGAAATTTACATAAAAATGTTCATCATCACTGAACATCAGGGAAATGAAAATTAAAATCACAATGTGAATACTATTCTCACACCCATGAGAATGGCCCATATCAAAAAGAACAAAAGCAAGTATTGGCAAGGGTATGGAGAAAAAGGAACACTTGTACTGTTGGAAGGAATGTAGACTGGCTCAGTCCCTCTGGAAGACAGGATAAAACTCTATGGAGTTATATCAAAATATTGAAAATAGACTTACCATATGATCCAGCTGAGTGATGAGTCTCACAAAACTTTTAAACAAGAACTACAGCATATAGGCTTAACGGTATTGGTAATGTGAAATGTAATTTGTGCAATTTCATTTTCAGTTTGCTTGACACTTTGTTTTAAAAACAAAGCATGCTCATGATTAGTAGTAATGACATGTGAATTCATTGACATGTAAATACTTAGATAAAAGCAAGTTTAAAAATTTTTAGTGTAGTAATATCAAAAACTTTCCAATCAAAGGAACCATTTTAAAATCACAGTAAGGGATCGGAAACAGAGGGCCTCAACCAGAGTCTAGACTTTGCCATGCAGCTGCTTTGTGACCTTCAGTTTCTTTGTGAGGATAATGATTATAACTTATTTCATTGATTTGATTTAAACATTAAATAAGATCTTATTTAAAAAGTATTTGTAAATTCTAAAACTTATATATATATAAAGTTTAACCCCTTCATAAATATCTTTTGGGAGAGTAAGAGGAAAGGAAAAGTCAAAGAGGGTGAGGGATAATGTCTGTTCCAGGTCAGTGTCTGACTGACACTAAATTTATATGTTCTTTCTCAAAAATACTTGGTAATTTAAACTTTCATGTGTTATCTTTTCTGTAAATATGTTCAAAGGAAATTTCTTTTTCCCTTACCAGGGTAAAAAAAAAAAAATAAAGCCTCCCCAGATTAGGCTAGTCTTAGAGGATGAATATGTTACCAAGAAAACAGAGAATGAGAAAGAATTTCAAGAAGGAAAATCATTTGCACTTTAACTCATTACGTACAAGTCATATTAAGGATTTGGAAATGGAT